AACCACTCCAGCTCCTGATCTGAATCCATACCTGGACACTCACATTAATGCTGGTGCTTGCTAGTCAGAAGATTAGATTTCTCAGTGTTTTGGACATTGGATATGTGTAGTTTTGGCGGTATGCTGTTTAGGGGCATTATGGGATAGCCTAGCCTAGAACCTCGCAGTCCTGGCATCTTGGGACTGGCCAATCACAGCACATTTATTTAGAAAAAACAATGTTTTATTTATATTTGTATGTGTTTTTTAGTTTTTCCACGATGGAATGGCGGACTGCCTCGTTGACAGACATCCAAAGCAGTACAATCACAGCGCTCTATATGTTTGATGGGCCAATCTTAGCATTCCTTGTCAGCCAAATGGGCAGGATGCACCTGCAAGTTAGCAAACCAAGATGGCCGCTGCTCCATAGTGGTTCAATCACAGCGTTGTTTTGGTTTGGTGGGCCAATCACAGCAGTCTGTTGGTGGTTGGGATTTTACTGTTAGCGGTGGATAATTTGAAACGGCTTTGGCATCCACTTTGGACTATATTTGACTTAGGGTTTTCTCTGTGTCAAGGGGAAATGGAGGTACTTAAGTTTATTTCGAAAAGGATGTTTTTGCATCTTGTTGGATGGAGTAGGGCAGACCGCATCGTTGACTTGACATCTGTAGCGGTGAGTACGTCTGGTTGTTTGGTATCCAATAGTATGCGGAGAAAGACCATGGGTCCCACCCCACGCTTAGAGCAGAGACTAGGAAGAGAGCTGAGAGCCGGCAATGGACCGTAGACACTGCCCGACAATTTCTTTATTTATTTATTGAATTTATTCATTCATCTTTCGAGTGAAAAGTGAAAAACACACAAGTATTCCAATGATATTATGAAAGTAAATGTATTCTAAATACCACATTTAAAAATAGTAAATGTACCCGAATACAGTTACTCATAATTAGTATTCTAAATATGTAATGGCGGTACTAGTATTCCGGTACTCCACAACACTGCGCTCGCACGCGCACACACACACACACACACACACACACACACACACACACACACACACACTGCTGCTACAATAAAGAATGTGGGTCGTAACACTTTTATTTTCTGATTCCTTTGTTTTTACATGAAGAGGAGCTATCAATTCTTGCTCTTAAACTTTCAGATCTTCAGATGAACTTCATGCCAAAGCAGGACCATGAGAACACAAATAACTACACAAACTTCTCCAGATTTGACATTTCAAATTTAATTTTGTTATACATTTGCTGGATTGTTATCTGAAAATTCAATCTCAAATGTCTTTTTCTTTATCCTTTTCATCAAGTCACAGAATAAGCAATGATGAACAAGAAAATTAAAAAGCAGTTTAGAGAAATGCTTTTTCATTTTAATTGTGTCACACTTAGCTGTTGTGTAGTGAAAATGAAAAAGCATTTCTGCTAATGCAGTTTAATTTTCAAATTTGACATTTCAAATAGAAATGTATTACATTTTTGCTGGAGTCTCGTCTCTCGTCTCGTCTTCCTCCGCTTATCCGGGTCCGGGTCGCGGGGGCAGCATCCCAACTAGGGAGCTCCAGGCCGTCCTCTCCCCGGCCTTGTCCACCAGCTCCTCCGGCAGGACCCCAAGGCGTTCCCGGACCAGATTGGAGATGTAACTTCTCCAACGTGTCCTGGGTCGACCCGGGGGCCTTCTGCCGGCAGGACATGCCCGAAACACCTCCCCAGGGAGGCGTCCAGGAGGCATCCTGACCAGATGCCCAAACCACCTCAACTGGCTCCTTTCGATCCGGAGGAGCAGCGGTTCTACTCCGAGTCCCTCCCGAATGTCCGAGCTCCTCACCCTATCTCTAAGGCTGAGCCCGGCCACCCAACGGAGGAAACTCATTTCGGCCGCTTGTATCCGCGATCTCGTTCTTTCGGTCATTACCCAAAGCTCATGACCATAGGTGAGGATTGGGACGTAGATCGACCGGTAAATCGAGAGCCTGGCTTTCTGGCTCAGCTCCCTCTTCCCCACGACAGATCGGCTCAGCGTCCGCATCACTGCAGACGCCGAACCAATCCGCCTGTCGATCTCCCGATCCCTCCTACCCTCACTCGTGAACAAGACCCCGAGATACTTAAACTCCTCCACTTGAGGTAGGACCTCTCCCCCGACCCGGAGGTGGCAAGCCACCCTTTTCCGGTCGAGAACCATGGTCTCAGATTTGGAGGTGCTGATCCTCATCCCAGCCGCTTCACATTCGGCCGCGAACCTACCCAGCAAGAGCTGAAGGTCAGAGCTGGATGAAGCTAGGAGGACCACATCATCCGCAAAAAGCAGAAACGAGATTCTCCTGCCACCAAACTCGACACACTCCACACCACGGCTGCGTCTAGAAATTCTGTCCATAAATGTGATGAACAGAACCGGTGACAAAGGGCAGCCCTGGCGGAGTCCAACCCTCACTGGGAACAGGTCCGACTTACTACCGGCTATGCGGACCAAACTCACGCTCCTCTGGTAAAGGGACTGAATGGCCCTTAACAGAAAGCCACCCACCCCATACTCCTGGAGCGTCCCCCACAGGGTGCCCCTGGGGACACGGTCATAAGCCTTCTCCAAATCCACAAAGCACATGTGGATTGGTTGGGCAAACTCCCATTCCCCCTCCATCACCCTTGCAAGGGTATAGAGCTGGTCCACAGTTCCACGGCCAGGACGAAAACCACATTGCTCCTCCTCTATCTGAGATTCAACTATCGATCGGACCCTCCTCTCCAGTACCTTGGAGTAGACCTTTCCAGGGAGGCTGAGGAGTGTGATCCCCCTATAGTTGGAACACACCCTCAGGTCACCCTTCTTAAAGATGGGGACCACCACCCCGGTCTGCCACTCCCTAGGAACTGCCCCCGATGACCACGCAATGTTGTAGAGACGTGTCAACCATGACAGCCCTACAACATCCATAGCCTTGAGATACCCAGGACGAACCTCATCCGCCCCCGGGGCTCCGCCGCTGTGTAGTTGTTTGACTACCTCAGCAACTTCTGCCCCCGAGATCGGACAGTCCATCCCCAGGCCTCCCAGCTCTGGTTCCTCCTCGGAATGCGCATTGGTGGGATTGAGGAGCTCCTCAAAGTATTCCTTCCACCGTCCGACTATAGCCTCAGTTGACGTCAGCAGCTCCCCATCCCCACTGTAAACAGTGTGAGCGAGTTGCTGCCTTCCTCTCCTGAGGCGCCGGACAGTTTGCCAGAACCTCTTTGGAGCCGATCGATAGTCTTTCTCCATGGCCTCACCAAACTCCTCCCACGCCCGAGATTTTGCCTCGGCAACTGCCACTGCTGCACCCCGCTTGGCTATCCGGTACCTGTCTGCTGCCTCCGGAGACCCACAGACCAGCCACGCCCTGTAGGCCTCCTTCTTCAGCCTGACGGCTCCCCGAACCTCTGGTGTCCACCAGCGGGTACGGGGGTTGCCACCACGACTGGCACCGGCCACCTTACGACCACAGCTAGCAACAGCCGCCTCGACAATCGCAGAGTGGAACAAGGCCCACTCGGACTCAATGTCCCCCACTGCTCTCGGGACGTGGTCAAAGCTCTGCCGGAGGTGGGAGTTGAAGACCGTCTTGACAGGTTCTTCTGCCAGGCGTTCCCAGCAGACCCTCACTATGCGTTTGGGTCTGCCAGGTCTACGCGGCATGTTCCCTTGCCATCTGATCCAACTCACCACCAGGTGGTGATCAGTTGACAGCTCCGCCCCTCTCTTCACTCGGGTGTCCAAAACATACGGTCGCAGGTCAGATGATACGACTACAAAATCTATCATCGACCTGTGACCTAGGCTGCCCTGGTACCAAGTGTACCGGTGGGCATCCTTATGTTCGAACATGGTGTTCGTTATGGCCAAACTGCGGCTTGCACAGAAGTCCAATAACAAAACACCGCTCGAGTTCTGATCAGGTGGGCCGTTCCTCCCAATCACACCCCTCCAGGTCAAGCTGTCATTGCCCACGTGAGCATTGAAGTCCCCCAGCAGGACAATGGAGTCCCCTGATGGAGCACTATCTAGCACTCGTCCCAGGGATTCCAAAAAGGGTGGGTACTCTGAACTGATATTTGGCCCATACGCTGGAGTGTTATTCGAAAATTTAATCCTAAATGTTTGTTTCCTTATGCTTTTCTTTACGTCACAGAATAAGCAATGGTGAAGAAGAAAATTAAAAAGCAGTTGCTTATTTGTTTTATTTATGAGTCAAATTTGGCAGTGCTAATATGAAAATGACAAATCATTTCTGCTAATGCATATTAATTTCATTTCTGTTACACATACGCTTCCATAGATCTAAGCCAACAGTTCCTTTATCTCATTCCACATTCTAGCTGATTTCAAACATCATAACCAGTTTGTCACTTAGATGAAGGAATTTGAAGCAACAGCAGACTTGTGACAGTTCCGCATTATAAACTCAAACTAAACCAGCCAGAATAAGATTGTTTCCAATGAGTTACTGCAAAGCACGTCTAACAAACAGATCATTTTGGTAGACAGGAACTAATGAAATGTAAAAACTGGGTCATAGTTTGATTTGTAGGCTTGGGTCAACCATGAGTCCTTGTTATTCCAAACTCAAGAACATTTACAAAGTAACCCATGACCCATATGCAAACAAATGATCAGCATTTGCTACTGTAACAACTGAAATTACTTTCGAAACTGGGGTTAGAACTTTCATGGAGCTGTAAGGAAAATAAATACAAAAAAGTGAGAGAGTGAACCAAAGCTGTTTGGCTGTGTTAGTCTCAATATCTCTGTATTTTATCAAATGGATTTCACAAAAGAGTTTTCTACTAGAAATAAGTGAAAGAAAATCTTGTCAAAATCCAGGATCAGTGAAAAATGGAACTGATATGGTAGCTCATTTTTATAACTGAATTAAGATTAAGATTACTTTACTGGTAACTATTAATCTAATGACTTACTTTTAAAAAAAGTAACTCATTTACTGTTACCCTAGAGTGTGTTTGTCCATTATTAGCCATCCGAGCCACCCAGACAGGGGACGGACTGACTGAAACACGATGTTAGCAGTTAGCGTTTCACCCCTGCAACCCAAAAATTTACTTGACAATTTTAAAGGCGGGGTTGGAATCCAAATGCTCAGAATCCCCCATAGGACCACCACTGTGACACCACTCATTTTTATTCCAGCACATAGGAAAAATGTTTATCAAAGGTGAAATTTAGAGAGTTGGTATTTTAATCTGAACAGCCGCTAACATAGCCTAAGAAATACACAGCACGCCATCTACCCACAAGATTTAACTAAACAAAACTGTAATTGCCTTTGTGCTAAATAAAGTTTTAGATTTGTGCAATAAATCTAACATAGTTGACAATAAATCAAAATCACATGGTGTTGAACAGCCTTCATGGAGCATACATAAAAAAGTTTCTTTCACACACACATACGCATGCACGCATGCACACACACACACGTACACATACACACACACGCACACGTACACACACACACGCACGCACGCACACACACACACGTACACATACACACACACACACCCACACACACACACGTACACATACACAAACTATTGCAAGCGCCTTAACTAGAGCTCAGTCAGTTTGTGTAATTTCATCCAGCGGTTTACGTAAAAACTAACACTTTTATATACGTGTTTGAAGCCATTATGCAGTGGAACGCTGGCAACAAAGCTCTGCCTGATCAACACTATAAATGATAAATGATCCACACTTGTATAGCGCCTGTCAGAGTTAGGACTCCAGAGCGTTTTACACTACAGTGTATCATTCATCCATTCACACACTGATGATGATGAGCTACAATGTAGCCACAGCTGCCCTGGGGCGCACTGACAGAGGCGCCCCACTATTTCAGTCATTTGTTATTCTCTCAATCCATTACTAACCAAAACCTCATGCTTTATGCAAAACATTAAATGATTTTCAGCGTACCAATCTTTACAGAAAACATAAAAGCCCTAAAAAACTGCACATGAAATATATTTAAAAAACAACATTCACTTATCACAGAGCAGTGGTTCCCAAACTTTTCAGCCTGACCAACAGATGTTCCTTCGTATTTTTACCTTATTTATAAATTTTCATTATATTTGGAAAGTTTTAATTTATATATAAATAAATAAATCTCTTTGAAAAATGTATATTTTACTTTTTCATGATTATGTGGCACACTTGACTTCCATACATAACGCATCGGCATCTGCCTCTTTTTACTACATTGTCGCTACGTCTGTCACGTTAGCGGTGTTAACCATAGTTTCTACATCCATCACGTCCCAGAGAAGGTTAAACCAATATCAAACCCAACGTTTGGGGCTTGTAAACTCCACACACCTCTCGTGCAGCACCAGCTGTCTGATGCTGCAGCAGCATCGATCTTCCCGGCTGGATGAGTGAATTTCTTCATCAGAGTCAATATTCTGCTTCATAATCAGAGTCAGTCATGACCAGAAAAAGTGATCAGTCAACAAAGACCAGACCTGCCGGCAATTATACGTTTTATCTAATATTTGCGCTCTTCATGCTGCACATATCTCCTCCTCTCCCCGATTGGGAGCCTCTCGGCGGGAGGCGTTTTTCAAGCTCTAAAAACTCCCAAACTTTGCTCAGCCTGAAGGTTACACAACTCCACTATCTTCTGGTGTAAAGTAGTAACTTCATGAGGGATCATATTTGTAGATGAGACTCGTTAAAGTCAGCTATGAGGCTTTGGCGCTTATAACGAGTAAGTCCCAACACTGACAACAACGTACTGAAACTAGAACCAACATGCATAAACAGACAGATCGGTCCCGCCCACTTACACTGTTGGTCTATTTTAAATAAGCAGTAATCGTTGCATTTTTCACTTCATCCTGCATCCTAGCAGCAACCACTTTGGCGCCTCTGGAGTCAAGTGGTGCTCGCTGCAGAACCACAAAGGCGGAGCTGCACCAGAGTCAGTTGAGTTGAGAGGTTAATTGAATCGTTTTTGTAAAGGTTCCATATAATTAAAAATCTAACTTTTAGAACTTTTTATCATGTTATATTGTCGTTTCCTCATAAGAAATACGCCAAAGCCATTTTTGGCCTCATTCATGCATTTTCCTCCCATCTCAGCTTCAATTTGGTCCTCTCCGACGAAGCGGGTCTGGTCTTGGTTCTCAAATCTGGATATTCTGTGAATTTTCTGACAAATTATTTCTGATAGGACTTCTACTGAGATACCGCCGAAAAACCATACATCCCATCTACAAAAACACACTAAATGGCACAATTACATGTGACGCCACATACTTGGTACCAGATGTGGTGGTGAAGTGGTTGTGCAGTCAGCTTGACATGTAGTTTTGCACAGGTTCGCCTCCCGGTAGCGGCGCAAACTTTTTTCTTCTTTTCTAGCAGAGGCGGCGTTACCATTAGGCAAAGGTAGGCGATTGCCTTGGGCCTCAAAAACTTTAAGGGCCCCATGATGAACACTTAACTAATATGTTTAAGGTATTTTTCGCTCTGAAACGAGTGAACCCTGTCATTGTAAAAAGCATTGTAATGAATTGGTGTGAGACTGCTTTCTGTGAAAGTGTTTCAATGTCCCCCGTTGCCCAGCTACAATGGACTATTCCATCCACAACGTGTTACGATGTTTACGGATCAGCGGAGCTGCGGAAGCGAAGAAGTGGATGTTTGAGAAGAAAATGAAGCGAAGCTTTCCAAGTGGGTCTGAAAAACATAAGAAGAAGGAAGAGAGCAAAAAGTTTGTGTCAACCCTGCCAAAGGTCACAGATTTTTTTACGGTGCTACAGCAGAGTACCAATAAAAGTCGCAAATTTAATGCGGCAAATGAACAAGACGCTGCCGCTAGCATTAGAGCTAGCAATGCTAACACGTTTAGCGAAGTGGAGGAGCCTGTTGCTGGAAGCTCAAGTTGCGGGGATGGGGATAATAAAAGGACCTCTCGGCAACTCGTGAGTATCAGTCTTCTTATTAACCAGTGTGCTATACTCGAAGATGACTCAGCACTCTGGCCAAAGGAGCTGACAGACAAAGAGCGCTGCTCAATAGTGCAAAAAGGACCAGTTAAAGTGAAGGACCGAAGTTTTCCTAAAAATCAAGAGGGGCGCAGATTCACAGTTTCTAACTGTTACCTACAAATGAGGAATGGAGAAAAGATTGCCAGGTCCTGGCTAATGTACAGTGAAAGCAAGGACTGTATTATGTGTTTTTGTTGCAGCTTGTTCAGAGACAGAGACAAAATCACTCAATTAAGTGGGGATGGTTTCAATAACTGGAAAAATGTTGCAGCCCATTTGAAACAGCATGAAAGATCTACTGAACATATCACAAACATGCAAACCTGGCATGCACTGTTACATAAACTACAAACAAACACAGCTATAGATCAGGTGAACCAAGATCTAATTGCTTTTGAAGTCAATCGCTGGAAAGAGATTTTAAAACGATTACTTGCTATTGTGAATCATCTAGCAGAGCGCAATCTTGCATTTCGTGGGCATTCAGAAAAGTTGTTCGAGTCTGGAAATGAAAATTTCCTTGGGCAAGTGGAACTGATGGCTCAGTTTGGCCCTGTCATGCAAGATCATTTGAGACGAATACAGAAAAAGGAGATCAGTGACAGCTACTTAAGCAAGGACATTCAAAATGAGCTTATTTCCCTTGTTGCAAAGTGCACAACTGATGCAGTTGTAGAGAGAATGAAAAGAGCCAAATATTATGCAGTAATTATGGACTGCACCCCAGACCTCAGTCACAAAGAGCAACTGTCAGTGGTACTACGAATCGTAAACTGTGAGCTCTCAAAAGGTGTCTCTGTTCATGAGCACTTTGTTGGTTTTCTTCAGGCACATGACACAACTGGAAAAGGTTTATGCGAGTCATTTTTAGGCCATCTAGAAAAGCTAGACTTAGATCTATCCAACTGTCGAGGGCAGTCACATGATAATGGAAGTAACATGCAGGGGAAAAAGCAGGGAGTCCAGAAGAGAGTGCTGGAACTAAACAGCAAAGCATTATGTGTCCCATGTGGAAGTCACACATTGAACCTTATTATTGGTGATGCAGCCAAGTCATCTCTGACATCCATCAGCTTCTTTGGTCTATTACAGCGGCTTTACACTCTGTTCATCGTTGGACCATTCTGAGGGAACACGCCAAGGACCTTTCAGTGAAGGCGTTATCAACAACAAGGTGGGAGTGTCGGGTTGAAGCTGTTAAGGCTGTTCGCTACTAGCTACCTGAAATTCTGAAGGCACTGACTGCTCTTATGGAGTATGCAAAAGAAAAACGGGATGCTGAAGTTGTTTCAACAGCTGGAAGCATCTATCAAGAGATGAAGAGATGGCCTTTTCTGGTGAGTACCATTGTGTGGTACAATGTTTTGTTCCAGATTAATAAAGCAAGCAAGATCTTACAGAGCCCCAAAGTTTCAGTGGAGACAATAAGGAATGAAATCACAGCAGTGACAGATTTCCTACAGGATTTCAGAGAATGTGGATTCAACTCTGCTAAAACAGATGCCAGGGAGATTGCAGAGAGGATTGAAGTGGAGAAGAACTGGCCAGAGGTGCATCAGAGAACTAAAAAAAGACAGTTTGAGTATGAGGGAAGAGAGCAAACCCAGCTAACTGCTGAAGAGCGCTTCAGAACAGAGTTTTTCCTGCATCTTGTAGATACAGCACTTGTCACTTTAAAGGAGAGATTTTCACAAATGGAAACCTTCTATGAGTTGTATGGGTTTCTCTACTGCACTGAGACAATGATAAAAACAGTGCAAGCAGGGAGACTGGATGAATGCTGCCACAGGCTGGAGCAAGCAATGGATGATGTTGATGCAGAGGACCTAAAGCTCGAGATACAGAGCGCAGTTAGAGCCTACCCCAAACATGTCTCATCACCATGTGAAGCGCTTGATTACATATATAATGAGAATATCCTTGACATCTATCCAAATCTGAGTATAGCTCTTAGACTTCTACTTACTCTCCCTGTGACAGTGGCTTCAGGTGAGAGAAGTTTCTCTGCTCTAAAACTTATCAAAACATACCTCAGATCAACTATGTCACAAGACAGGCTATCTGCACTTGCTGTTATCGCCATTGAGCGTAATGTCAGGAAATCACTGGATATGGAATCAGTGATGACACGATTTGTGGAGGCCAAAGCTCGCAAAGTCAGATTTTAGAAAGGCTCTGACATAAAAATATACTAAGAAAAGACAGAAAACGTGGAAATAAGAGGCAAAGGAAATCTACAAAACTCAAGAAACAGGGAAAGGAGAGAAACAAGATGATTAAAGGAGCAGAGGAGGAGGAGGAGGAGAGAAAGAAACTATCTACAAAGCTCAAGAAACAGGGAAAGGAGAGAAACAAGATGATTAAAGGAGCAGAGGAGGAGGAGAGAAAGAAACAAAGCATTCAAGGGCAAGACTCAGAAGAGAGAGAGAAGGAAAATAAAAGCAAAGGTAGAAAATGGTAACTTTGACATGGTTATGTAATTTTTTTCTGTATCTCCATATTTAACCATTTTGTCTTATGTTTTATTGCTTCCTTTAGTGAAAGCAGACCAACTAAGGCAGGAGATAGAGGTGTTTCACCAGAGAAAATGAGAAAGAAGAGAATAAGTGGGTGGGCAACAAATCAATACAATCATGTATATCATTATTTTTGTACAAATCAAATGATTTCATGCTAAATATATTTGTTAAACACATTCTTTTTTCCATTCAGATGCAGTTCCAGAGATTCTTCACATCAGTTCCATCCAAGACTGGACCAGTGAAGAAGTTATTCATTCTTTTTGTAGTAAGAATAAAAAAACAAAAATCAGAACAGCTGTGGAGGGCCTCATGTCTTTGCTTGCCTTGGGCCCCCAAATTGCTAAATCCACCCCTGTTTTCTAGCTACACTTGCCAGTACTATGTTTTTAACCATTTATTGGTATACCATTTAAAATATAATGACTAATGTGTTTTTTTATTTTATTTATTTGTTTATTTAGCCAGTGTGAGTCCATTGGTGAGCAGAGTTTCAATTAAAATGCTGTTTAGGAACTAGCAAATTCAAAGAACTTTTAGAGACATAAATATTTTGCAGAAAATAAACATTACAACTAAAATGTAAACAAATTAAATGTTTCAGCTGGCTAAATAGATTGCTGCCGACCCCACCGAGAGTCGAACCAACATCAGCTGAGGGGAAAGCAAAACTTAAGTTTGACGATCTTGCCACTACACTACCAGAGTTCACTAAACAACTGTCATTAAATACTCTTGTACCCATGTTCTGTTAGAGCAGCTATGGACAGATATTCGCTAAAAGAAACCTTTTCATTTCGGGATATATTCAGGCTTTGTCATGTAGCAAGTTATATTTATCTTGCTTAATTGGAGCATAGAACATAGCATTAACATTTGTAAACTAGTAACAGCCGTAATTCATGTGGGTCAGGTTAGTTTGCGATAAAAAAAAACTGAAGAAGTCAGTGGGCTAGGCTGTTTGCGTGAGTGGGCGGGGCTGACTCTGGTGCAGCTCCACCTTATGGTGCAGCTCCGCCTTTGTGGTTCTGCAGCGAGCACCCTCTCTCTGCAGTCGGTGTTTGTTTACGTCATGCTGCATTCAATTTAATTGGAAAAAGGAGCTTCAGGCGCTTAACCTCCGATTTTGTTTTCTTTCTGGCCTTAGTAGGGGGGGGGGGGGGGGGGGGGGGATCGGGGTTGAGCTGAATCTGGGGGGGACAGATCCCCCCCGTCCCCCACCCTATATGCACGCCTGGTGGGGGAGTCTAGTTTTCCCCCAAAATGCCTTGCAAGGCCCTGGTTATGGGACTGAGTAATGAAGGTGATCTGATTTGTATCAAATATATTAATATTATATACCGTAAATCCTCTAATACAGGCCCGGGCCTGTATTAGAGGATTTACGGTAATAAAAAATGATTGTTTGATAAAGGTAAAAGTGTGTAGTGGGATAAATTTACCTACATTTTCCTTTTCAAGCACCTTGTTTTGTTTTCTTGTGTTTTGACTATTTTCCTGTTCTGCCTGTTTCTTATCTTCCTGCATTTCCTTTCATTTCTCCAGAAAAGCTGCTGCCTACGTTCCTACTTTTTCAACTCATAAGTTACTTTTGAACTAAGCAGATCAACGAGATCTACTGACTGCAAAAACAGCGGAGTGCACACAGCAGATGACAGGGTTCTCCCGCGGCTCGCAAAAAACATAAAGCAGATGCCGAAACGATCGCTGCACGGCGCGGGCTGGAGCGCCGGCGCACGCCGCTTTGGCGGCCCATGTAGTCTATACAATAGGAAAACAAGGGCGCCGAATGAAGGCGGTCCTCGTTTTGCGGCGCTTCGGCGGCTGGTGTATCCCCGGCGTGAGCCTGAGATCAGTGGACTCAGTGGTCTACTTTAAAAAGCAGCCGAAAACTCACCTGTTCAGGCTGGTTTTGGTGTGATCACAGGATTGTGTGGGAAGAAACAGCACATTTTGCCTGTGATTGAGTCATTTTGCACATTTGGAGAACAATTTAGTAAAGCAGATGGATCATTCTTGTGGTCCAGTTGATTGTTGGGAGGCTTAATAAGAAGTTTTATTGGAATTTCCTCCGTAAATGACCGCAAAATACGAGAGATAATGGCAGGCAACCCGGGCTTTCCAAAGACAGCCTGGACTGCAGCAGCAACGGACAGTTTGTGAGGCTCATTTTGTTAATGATAAGTCCTTGTGACTAAGTATTTGTTAATTAGAGCAGATGTTTTTAAAAACATTCATCATCCTGCATTTTTAAATCTACTGAGTCTAATTGTTTTTGCATTCTGATTCAGGTGTCTCAACTCGCAATCATTATAATAATGAAGTAATAAACAACGTCACTGATTAGTGACGACTTACCCGGCTTTGCAGCGAGAATTCAAAGTGTACGTCGCCTATTGATAACAGGTGTTTTCTTGCCACACAGCCGCTCTCACATGCACACAGGGATGACAAAAATAGTCAGCAAAGCTACTCCTGTTGTCGCACCCTGTCCTGTCTCCCCGCTCTGTTCTGTCGTGTGTCTGTTAATTGCTCCCACCTGCATCTCGTCTTCCAATCATCCAAGTTCCCAGCCCTCATGTATTTAAACCCTCTCAGTTCTGTGTGTCTTGTCGATTCATTGTTTCCATGTCCAGCGTGCTCCTCATTAAAACATTTAAAGACCTTTCGGTCTCACTGCCTGCTTCTTCCCCCGCGTTTGGGTCCTCGCCTCCGCTTCACTCACCTGCAGCCCGTGGCACTTGTAGACCCTCCTATCTTCATGCAGAGCTGCCTCAAAGCCCAGACAGAAATGCTGAGGAACATCTTATTTCCTGGGGCAGCAAAGTTCACGGCCTCTGAACCTTGAGCTGTCCATTGACCTTTGTTCTTATGACCTAACTTTTAGCTTATTGATGACTTCAGCTTTTATATTTTTTCAGGCTGGCCTGAGTAACACATTTCATCCTCAGATAACATGCTGATGGATGAATGTAAATGAATCTGTCAGCCAAGAAATTTAGTTTTCAGAGTGGAATTATTTGATTGGATACATGGACTGCAGTACCCTGAGGTCTGAATAAGTCCACTGCACCACCCTGAGGTCTGAATAAGTCCACTGCACCACACTGAGCCAACTCAGAGGACATACATCACCTTCAGACTGCTAGTTTAGAAAGTTGACCTGAAGGTTAATCTCTGAGCCATCTTTGTGCACAATGACTGCTCATTATCCTTGTGTTCCCACACCTCCATCCACAAAGATCACCCGTAGTCAGAGTCCATACTGACACTTCAAACATATCATTCCTTTTCTGTACAAGTTACAACTCAACTCATTATACTCAACATGTTTTACTGCCGCTCTACTTTCAAGTGCAACTTTCAGAAAGCTGCTGCTGAGAGACTGTTTAACAGGTGAAATGTACTGAAAGGATTCTTTGTACTTGGGCTCAGGTCACAGTACACAATGCAGTGGTGTTTCAGATAAGTCTAAAGCAGCACAACCATTTCCTGTCTGGAATCACTTAAGTGAAAAGCCCTGTGATATTGTAGATATAGGTAGTGTGAATGTTGGTGAACATTTTAAACACTTAGCAGAAACTAATGAAACATGTGAAAAGAATGGATTAAGGCTTCAGTTCCACTCTTTGATGAACCATGAACTCTTGTGATGCGTCAGACAAGAGAATTCACTCAGTAACCCATGACCTCTGCGTAAACAAATGATCAGCATGTGCTACTGTGACAGCATCCATCAACTTACGTTCCTGAAGCTTTAGGTTACTTGGTGTTCTTTTCACATGCTCAACTTCAGGGTGGGTAATTTGCATAAAAATCAGTTATTAATTACTCAATGAACAGAAATCAGTCTTTCTCCTCTAAAAGAGCAGTTAGAGCTGACTCAGTCGACCTTGCATCCTGCTTTAGATCTGTTACTAAAGGCTCGGAGTGCTCAGAAAAATCTTCAGATGAACTTCTCTTCTTCATCCTTATTCTCCAAGCGTTTACAGTGAACTATTTTAACTATTAAACACAATGGGGTGATGGTGGCCGAGTGCCCACCCTGTAATTTCCCAGTTCCAGTTTTGAGCTCGACAGGGCAGACACATACCTCTTCACTACAAAAGTAAAAGGTCCTCTAAAGCTGTAAAAAAAATCATACCATTTAGATGGAGATTATACTATTTGAGATGAATGAGGATATGTTTTTTATTGAATTGCTCATGGATAATGAGATTGGGATTGGTGTTCCATTGAGTAATGGCATAATGAAAATATCACTGTGGCGACTGAAGGGTCATGCTCATTTGAGTTGAATGTTGAATTGCTTGAAGCTGTGTCATGCAGCCATCAAAGCTATGTCAGCTGCTGGAAGTTTCTGTATAATTTTTTTTAAACAGATACTTTTTAATCCAGGGGTGTGGAACTCAAATTCCCACTGGGCCGAAATGAAAAACTGGGACGAAGTCGCTGCCCAAACTCAATATTTTTTTAAAAGTGATGTCTAATGTGCACATTTTCCTTTATCTAAAGATCTGTATGGTTTCAACCTTTTCATTTCGAAACAAACTTATTTTTGCAGTAACACTGAATCTGGAATAACCAAATTGCACACGAGCAAATCGATTTTAAATAAAGCACATCGGTGGTATTATTATGTCTCAATTATTTTAATTTGTATTGCTTAAAATGTGTATACATACAGAATTTCTTTTTATTTTGAATCTTTTGAATCTTTCAAGTATTTATATTTTATATTTTCTTATTTTTTACTCTCCTTTGTTGCTCCTTTAATGACCGTTGTTGCTGCTATGACACCAAGCTTCCCCCACTGAGGGACAATAATGGGATTTTCTATTAATTTCCATTCTATTCTATCTGTAATGTTTCCAGCTCCTGTTTTAAAGTACCGTATTTTCACGACCATAAGGCGCACCTAAAAGTCTTAAATTTTCTCCAAAATGTACGCCGCGCCTATTGTGTTGTTGTGAGACGCGAACGTAGTAGAAGACAAGGGGCGTGGCGTGAACGTGCGGACGTGAGCGAAGACAGACCTGTGGATTTGCCACATCGTCATCATCATCCTCCGGCTGTGAGTCTCCGTCCACTTCCTCTGCTTCCAGTTCAACAAACAACCGTACTATCTGAACTGCCTGGTGGACATTTATCCTTCTCATCATCCTTTATATAAGCCTAATAAAAGCCTACTAAACTGCAGCGACAATATATCTGTCTGGATCACTCCAAAATATGAAGTTTACCGTCAATATCTGTCTAATTGTTTGCTGTTACTTGCGCCACTCCTTTCTGCGCGAAGCGGTTCCTTTTTGCGCATATCTCGATAAGGTTGGTTTATGCTTGACGCACCCGCGAGGTCCGCACGGCTCCGCGCGGAAAAGTTGCGTCATTTTAACAACCACGCCCCTCCACCGCGCTTCCGCACGGCCCAGAATTTCCACAACGCGCACCTCAA